CGATCTGTTGGAACCCTATGTGGATTCACTTGGAGACAACCAAGCAGTCGATCAGGACATCGGCGACAGTCCGGTTTCAAATTTGGAAATTGGCTTTGATGGAATTATTTGGGCATAAATTATAATTTGCTTATATCCCGTAGGAATACAAAGTCATCAGTAGAAAGATGATGGTTATTGCAGGCCAACAATTATTTAAAGATTGGCTCCCCTCTCACGCCATGACAAGGTGTTCCTCTTTTATTATTTACTTTTGAGTTTTTTCAGTTTGGTTTTATTAGTTAGTGTAACAATTTTCCTCGTCTGTTAGAATCTAATAATTTGTATCCATAAGTTTGCTTCAGTCTGCTGGCAATCAATTCTTGTAATTTATTTACTGTAACAAAATAGTAAAAAGCCATTTGTTATTGATTATTTGTCTACATTGCAGCAGATTTTTCACTATCACAACCAGTAACGATTTTAAAAAAACATAGGGAAGAGGTAAACTTGACTGTTGACTTTCTTCAGTTTGGTTACTATAGAAATGATTTGATATCATTTGCTATGTTTTCAGCATCCTCACTAGACCCATATATTCCTCTTCTTGATAATCCCACACAATATAAACCGTTCTTTCCCTTCCAATGGTTGGGGAAACTTTGTCTTGGAAGTCCATCATCTTTTAAAAGATAATCATCCCCCTGTAACAAAAAAAATTAAAAATTTCACATCAAAAACACTGTTTTTCTTTTAATTAATTTGATTAATTTGTTATTTAATCATCACCTTGAGCCACAAGTTTGTTGATCTCCTGAACCCGGTGCAGAAAACAATTGCATCAAATTGGTACGACTTGCCGTTTTTCAATTCAACATCGCTGCCTCTTATGCTGCTGATTTCTGCTGGCAAGACCTGAATCTCACTGGACTTGATCTTCTTATAGGTTCCAACATCAATGGCTGGATATTTGCCGTACTTGACCTTCATATAAAAGGGACCCTCTGTTGGCCTCTCTATCCCATACTTGGTTAAGTCTCCAAAGACCACCTTGCTAAGCAAAACCATCAAAGAGTCCACCATGTTTAGCGACAAATGTTTCAACAAAACCAGGGCCAAGTAAACCATCCCCCTTGACAAAACATGGACCTGCATTCATATCACATAACTATCGTATTAAACATGAAAGAAATTTTTGATACGAGTTATAGTCTAAACTACTCTAAATTAAACTAATCTAATCCAAGAAATTTAAGTTAGAAATTAATGAAGTCGTACCGGGCTTCGAACGATGATGGAAGTCTTTGCACCATGGTTTGCTAGGTCTAGAGCAATTTCCATGCCGGAATTCCCAGACCCAACAACCAAAACGTTCTTGTTTTTGAACCCCTTCCCAGATTTGAACTGAGTTGAGTGAAGAACATCCCCAGCAAAAGTGTTCAAACCTTGAACCTCTGGGGTATATGGGTTGGTTGCTTCCCCTGTAGCCACCACCAAAAACCTCCCAAAATACTCCTCCATCTCACCAGAGCCACCAGTATTACTGTTAGTCACCGCCTTCACAACCCATCTCTCAGAAGCTTCATCATAGTTTGCAGACTCAACATTTCTGTGGTACAGGATGGGACTAATCTTGAAACGGGACACATAGTCGTCCAAGTATTGGATAAACTGATTCTTGGGCACGTAGGTGGGACAAGAAGGTGGAAATGGCATGTGGGGAAGCTCACAGAACTGCTTTTGAAGGTGGAGGTGGAGACGGTCATATGAATACTTTTTCCACAGGGAAGCAAAACAGTCCTCTCTTTCCAAGACTATGTATGGGATTGCAAGCCGGCTTAGACATCCGGCCATGGCGAGGCCGGACGGGCCAGCCCCGACTATAATCACTGCCTTCTCTTGCTCCATTTCAACTCTCTCTCTCTCTCTCTCTCTCTCTCTCTCTAGCTCTCTTCTGTTGTTGCCAAGAATAAGGCAGAGTTTAATACATTAATTTCAAGTAGGAGGGTTCCATACTCCATTCTGAAAAATCACCAATAAGAGACCAAGTCTATGATTTAGTCAGTCAATATGTTTTTTTTTTTTTTTGGTGCTTAATTATAATGCGAAAACGTATGAATTAAAAAACCAAGAGAATGGGCTGTTTCTTGCACATTTGGTACATGGTGAAAATGCCACGTGGTTGATATGATAAGAAGTAGGGGGACAGCTGACTTTTTCGTTAAACAGACAAGGAAAAAAAAGGGTTATCTACACATAGATTTGTATCTCCATTTTTACACTTAGAAATTGTACAGAAAAATGTTGGTAATTGTAAGATGCGTGGTGTAGCACGAGACAACAGAGTGAAGTAACATGTACGTAAGAAATGGTGGCTTTCCATCAACCGTCATCATTATTCGTACCTCTTTATTATTTCAATTGCTTGCTTCCTTCTTTCGAAACAAGTCTGAAGCATAAGTCAGTTTCAATGACTCGGCTGGTGGGCTCAACCTCACCCCCTGTCCTGTGATTCATTGGTATTCTACAAATCTTCATGTCTATTCACAGGGTTCTGTTTCCCCTCTTTTCTTCCCCCATTTCTTCTTTTCTCCGAGAAAAATTTAATTAATTATAATGAGGATAGAATTGTTTTGCTATCGGCCAATAAGAAAGTATTATTACATGTATCATAGTATTATTATCCATGTTTCATGAAAATCTTTCTCCTTTTCTTTGGTGGTAAAAAAAAGTGTACGCCGAGATAATAAAATAGAAAGGCAAAGAATTTTACTGCATTGTTTTTCAGTATCTTCAGAGTCTAGATTCATACGAAACACGAATTAATGATGAGAAGCGACAAGCGAAGAAACGGGCATGCTGCTGTGTCTGCAAGATTGTCGTTCCAAGTGGATATTCCAAGTAAAAAAGCAAACTAAACGTGAAATAATGTATGCAACAATTTACAATTACGTTAAATAAATTAATGAGTGGTGGTGGGAGATAAAATTGTGGGAGACTTTTATTTCACTAAAAAAGTAATAAAAAAAATCATAGTTAATTACCAAATTACATATACATGATAAGCAAACACTAAACTAAATTAAGTGGTCAAATTGTATAACGTGGTCTTTTTGGGGGCACGTGGGAAGAAATTGGTCTAATGGTATATGCATGTGGATGTGGATGTGGTGAGCAAAAGAAATGTAGAGATTACTTGATCACCATAACATGCAAAAATGGTTGAATATATATATATTTACTCTGCAAATGTTAAATGTAACATGCTATGAAATCCTTATTAAATCTCTGATTAATTTGTCATTCTGAATCTGATGGGGATCATTCACCAGACTACTCCCTTCCTTGGCAAAAACAAAGACAACATACAAGTACAGGCAGGCAAGTTTTGAACTCTTATCCTCGTACTCATTTCACTAGCCCGTGGGGTGTGTGTTTTGAAGAACTTATGATTGGTGACGGGAAACTCTTGACAAATGCCTACTGTGTTGAGCATTATACTCAGGTTCTTTGTTGTCCGTATTAGTCAATAGTCAGTAGAAAGGTACAAAAGTGTCATTTACTTATCTAGTCAGTGAACGGGTTTAGCCTTCTAAGCGCATTTGTCATAAGTATATCAACTTTGGTTTTAGAAGACATACACACTTGTTCTATATGTTGCCTTTTGTGTGTTTTTCCTTGAGGGTTCATAAGCACAATCATATCTCCATCTATAGTATGTATGTAAAACATGACCGATGAAGAAAGTCTGTATTGAGGAAAGTGAAGGATACAATTACTTTTTCTGTAGTTATACAAAATGATGTTTTAGGCAAGAGGTCCAGTCTGATTATTTATTTTTATTTTCTCTACGAATGCAGGTTAAAGTGAAGAGAAGAGGGGATGATACCAAATATGTGGCTAAGGTATTTCACCCTCAGAAAATTAACATAGTGATGCTCAATATCTTGGAGATAAATACGATGTTGCAACTTATTATCAGTAGTGGGGATTATGATATAGCTTTACTATTAGTGACTTGATATGCAGGTTTTGGCCAGAGGTGTTGATTGTGATATAGCTTTACTTTCAGTAGAAAGTGAGGAATTCTGGAAAGGGGCAGAACCACTCCAATTGGGAAGCTTACCCCTCAAAACAATGTAGCTTTACTATTTCTGAAACTGCAGAAGTTGAGGTTGTTATACCTAAGTTCGGAATTTTCTACACTTCTGCTATAACATCACAATGGTTCATCCCCTTTAAGTGTTGTATCTGTGGTTTTTATATTTGACAGGAAGCAGTGACTGTTGTAGGATATCCCCTTGGAGGAGACACCATTTCAGTAACAAAGGGGGTTGTATCGCGTATAGAGGTTTGGCTTTCCTTACCTGAGTGGACTTGTATGATTTATTACTTGCTGATGGATATGGCTCTGATAATCGGTTGATGTGTTACATAAATATAGGGCATCAAGTTTCTCACTATTAATATCCTCAGGTTACGTCATATGCTCATGGGTCATCTGATTTGTTGGGCATTCAGATTGATGCAGCAATAAATCCTGGTCAGTCTATGATTCAAATTTACAATTATAACACTCTGTCGTCACTTAGCTGCCTCAAGATTACAATCCTTCTTCTTTATATTGCATATTTATCATAGCCACTGCTTATACTTTGCTAGATTGTAGGTAATAGTGGTGGACCTGCATTCAATGATCAAGGGGAGTGCATTGGTGTGGCATTTCAGGTAAATTTGTTGGCTTGCTGTCAAAGTTTGTTTATCCATGTTTACTTGGGTCTCAGATTTCTTGGCTGTATAGGCAATTCTGTGGCATGAAAACTTTTTCCTTATTATTTTAAGAGACACTTCTTTTAGGTCTACAGATCTGAAGAGGCCGAGTATATTGGATATGTCATTCCTACTACAGTTGTGTCTCATTTTTTGGATGACTATGAGAGGAACGGGAAGTATACAGGTGAGAATCTCTTCCCAACTTTCATCTGTGTGAAGGGAACTTAGTTGTATATGTTGTGTATTTTTCTTGCCAACCATATGGCTGCACTAACAAAAAATTAATTTCAGGTTTTGAAGTTAAATGGAACCCAAATAAGGAACATTCATCATTTGGCGTACCTTGTAGATTGTAAGCGGTAGCACCCCTTAAATACTTACTGTAACAAAATAGTAAAAAGCCATTTGTTATTGATTATTTGTCTACATTGCAGCAAGCTTCTTCAGTTTGGTTTCTATAGAAATGACTTGATATCATTTGCTACGTTTTGAGCATCCACACTAGACCCATATATTCCTCTTTGTGATAATCCCACACAATATAAACCGTTCTTTCCCTTCCAATGGTTGGGGAAACTTTGTCTTGCAAGTCCATCATCTTTTAAAAGATAATCATCCCCCTGTAACAAAAAAAATTAAAAATTTCACATCAAAAACACTGTTTTTCTTTTAATTAATTTGATTAATTTGTTATTTAATCATCACCTTGAGCCACAAGTTCGTTGATCTCTTGAACCCGGTGCAGAAAACAATTGCATCAAATTGGTACGACTTGCCGTTTTTCAATTCAACATCGCTGCCTCTTATGCTGCTGATTTCTGCTGGCAACACCTGAATCTCACCGGACTTGATCTTCTTATAGGTTCCAACATCAATGACTGGATACTTGCCGTACTTGACCTTCATATAAAAGGGACCCTCTGTCGGCCTCTCTAGCCCATACTTGGTTAAGTCTCCAAAGACCAGCTTGCTAAGCAAAACCGTCAAAGAGTCCACCATGTTTAGCGAAAAATATTTCAACAAAACCGGGCCCAAGTAAACCATCCCCCTTGACAAAACATGGACCTGCATTCATATCACATAACTATCGTATTAAACATGAAATAAATTTTTGATACGAGTTATAGTCTAAACTACTCTAAATTAAACTAATCTAAGGGGCGACTTATTGCCTAACAAGCTGAACTAACCTACATCTACGAACATCCAAGAAATTTGAGTTAGAAATTAATGAAGTCGTACCGGGCTTCGAACGATGATGGAAGTCTTTGCACCATGGTTTGCTAGGTCTAGAGCAATTTCCATGCCGGAATTCCCAGATCCAACAACCAAAACGTTCTTGTTTTTGAACCCCTCCCCAGATTTGAACTGAGTTGAGTGAAGAACATCCCCAGCAAAAGTGTTCAAACCTTGAACCTCTGGTGTGTATGGGTTGGTTGCTTCCCCTGTAGCCACCACCAAAAACCTCCCAAAATACTCCTCCATCTCACCACAGCCACCAGTATTACTTTTAGTCACCGCCTTCACAACCCATCTCTCAGAAGCTTCATCATAGTTTGCAGACTCAACATTTCTGTGGTACAGGATGGGACTAATCTTGAAACGGGACACATAGTCGTCCAAGTATTGGATAAACTGATTCTTGGGCACGTAGGTGGGACAAGAAGGTGGAAATGGCATGTGGGGAAGCTCACAGAACTGCTTTTGAAGGTGGAGGTGGAGACGGTCATATGAATACTTTTTAAACAGGGAAGCATAACAGTCCTCTCTTTCCAAGACTATGTATGGGATTGCAAGCCGGGTTAGACATCCGGCCATGCCGAGGCCCGACGGGCCAGCCCCGACTATAATCACTGCCTTCCCTTGCTCCATTTCAATTGTCTCTCTCTCTCTCTCTTCTGTTGTTGCAAAGAATAAGGCTGAGTTTAATACATAATTTCAAGTAGGAGGGTTCCATACCCCATTTTGAAAAATTATCAATAAGTCACCAATCCAATCTATGATTTATGTTTGTACCGTGACCAACCGAGCAACTAGCTAAGCTAGATTATTCATGTGTCATGCTATGATAAGTCATCATTTTAGCCAAAGAAGCCTTACCACAAGTTATAAATCTAAACAAGGCAAGGAGTCCCTCATTGGAAGACTCTAAGAGATGAAGACTCCCCATCACCTATAAAAGAAGACTACTCTTCACTTAGAAATGGGTCTTGGATCTTGGATTTTTGGGCTTTGTACCTTAGGCATTGGGTCTTCTTCTCTTTATTTTTGGATTTAACTCCATGTACAAATGTAAATACATATTATTATAATAATGAGAATATATTTCTCCGTGAATATAGGTCATTCATTAAGCGTGAATCACGTATATCTTGTCTTAAACATTTGGTACGACATGGTAAAAATATCATGTGGTTCGGACGCAGCCTATTTTAGATCATGATAAGAATGGTCTCTTAAGGCCTAGATTTGCACATGTGTAATTTTTTTGGTTTGGACTTTGCCTCCTATTTTAACCCCCCCAAAAAAAAAATTTGCCATGTGGTTGATATAATAAGAAGTAGGGGGACAGCTGACTTTTTCGTTAAACAAACAAGGAAAAGAGAAGGTTATCCATACGATTGAATTGTATCTCCATTTACACTTAGAAATTCTACAGAAAAATGTTGGTAATTGTAAGATGCGTGGTGTAGCACGAGACAACAGAGTGAAGTAACAGGTACGTAAGAAATGGTGGCTTTCCATCAACTGTCATCATTATTCGTACCTCTCTATTATTTCAATTGCTTGCTTCCTTCTTTCGAACAAGTCTGAAGCACAAGTCAGTTTCAATGACTCGGCTGGTGGGCTCAACCTCACCCCCTGTCCCCTGTGATTCATTGCTATTCTACAAATCTTCATGTCTATTCAAAGGGTTCTGTTCCCCCCCCTTTTCTTCTTCTTTCTCTGAGAAAAATTTAATTAATTTACGGAGATATAATTATTTTGCTATTTTCAGTCTATAAAAAAGTATTATTACGTGTATAGTAGTATTATTATTCATGTTCTCCTTTTCTTTGGTGGTAAAAAAAAGTGTACCCCGAAATAGCAAAATAGAAAGGCAAAGAATTTTACTTCATTGTTCTTTAGTATCTTCAAAGTCTAGATTCATACGAGACACGAATTAATGATGAGAAGCGACAAGCGAAGAAAAGGGCATGGTGCTGTGTCTGCAAGATTGTCTTTCCAAGTGGATATTCCAAGTAAAAAAGCAAACTAAACGTGAAATAATGTACGCAACAATTTACAATTACGTTAGATAAATTAATGAGTGGTGGTGGGAGGTAAAATTGTGGGAGACTTTTATTTCACTAAAAAAGTAAAAAAAAATTATAGTTAATTGCCAAATTACACATGCATGATAAGCAAGCACTAAATTAAATTAAGTGGTCAAATTGCATTACGTGGTCTTTTTGGGGGCACGTTGGAAGAAATTGGTCTAATAGTATGTGCATGTGAATGTGGATGTGAATGTGGTGTGCAAAAGAAACGTAGAGATTACTTGATCACCATAACATGCAAAAATGGTTGAATATATATATATTTATTTATTTATTTACTCTGCACATGTTAAATGTAACATGCTATGAAATCCTTATTAAATCTCTGATTAATTTGTCATTCTGAATCTGATGGGGATCATTCACCAGAAATTTTAAGAACCAAATAAAGTGTAGAATTGACTGCCAACCTGAATGATAGTGAGATTTAGAGACGGTGCATGGAGTCGGAAAATGGATCCAAATGCGTGATTACTTTTCCACTGAATTGACACCAAAAAGGGCCTTTCATTTCTTACAAAAAGTTCTAGAGTTTGGGACTTTGCTTGAAGAATTGATCAAACCCAATGATATACCACTAGGGGCTGGGCCAATATAAACCAATGTGGGCTTCAAATGCTGGTCCAAAACCTTTATAATAACCACTTGGCCCTGGGCCAATGTAAACCAATGTGGGCTTCAAATGCTGGTCCAAAACCTAAAAATTAAAAATAAAAATGAAAACAATCTGTTGAGAGTGGGATTTGAACCCACGCCCTTTCGGACCAGAACCTTAATCTGGCGCCTTAGACCAACTCGGCCATCTCAACGGTTGATAAATGGTTTCTAAGTCTTTACATATATACTATTGTATCGTGCTCGCTTTTTGAGATCCTGACGGCTGATCTGATTGTATGTCTGACCATAAAGAAGAAGAGATATTATTCGAAGTAAAAAGGCAAACCTGCAGATTAAATAAAGAGAAACCACATGACTAAGCTGTCTGTTCCAATATCCATCCAAAATAACACAGCCCATCATTCTACAATCTACAACGCTCTCTCTCTCTCTCCAAACCAAACCAATTATTATCTAAATCTACCGGCTACCGGGATAAAGTATGGTTCTTGGTTGCTCTAACGGTCAGAAAAGCAGAGACCATGATCAGAATACTATTATACACAAACCCAAAATTTTTGAACCAACAACAAAATTTTTGAACCAACAAAAAAAGAAAGAAAAGGAAATCATCATTGTTTGATCATTAGCTGACCTCTTTCCAAATTTCTAATAAGGAAATGACTTGGGAGCTTATATTCATCCAACTTTTGCTTAAAAAGAAGAAAGCATCAAGTTTTGAAATTTTTTGCTCCATTGACAAAACAGTTCCTGGGTTGACATTAGAATTTAGAAGAGTGAGTGTGACAGTGTCCAAATAAACAACATTTACCCAAACCCAAATTTCAATTTTTTTATTTTTCACTCTGTAGACTGTTCTGCGCTCTGTAGATGCAAAGTAGCAAAGAGTATAAACCAACCCATCTGCATCTGCAGCCATCACAAGTTACCAACATAGCATGCCACTAACAGAAACTGTCATTCAATTAATGCCGCAATGTCTACATGCCAAGATTTAAAGCCTAATAGCAGATTCACGGACCAACTGCAGGCTGCGGCAAATGAAAGTTAACAGAAGAAGTAGAAAAAAATGCTTAAAGGGAAAAGAGACAGACACCTCATCCTCATGCTGTACAGAGGAAAATCACAAATGAAACCTTGTCCCTTAGCAGCACATGCAGAGCTGTATTACCATAGCAGCTTCCAATTGTATTTGGCACTTTGTGGTTCTGTCCCCACCACCACTTTCTCTCACAAGACCCTTTTAATCCCCTACTTATTCTGTCCAGCTCTTTACTCTTCCATCCCCTTCTCTCTCTCCCCAAAAGACACATTTATTGAACTTCCTTTACTATTGTCAAGTGTAGAATTTGATTGATTATATCAT